TTTTTTTTCATGCAAGATGGCGATTGGAGCACCCAAAAGGACAGAGAGTTGGTAGCTCCTCCAGTTAAAAAAATTGTTATGGTTTTTGGTTTGCTATTAAAAAAAGTCAGTGTAAAAAGTCATATTTTGGTCTAAGACTCTGTTTCCTTATTAACTAGGAGAGAGGCTGTAGGGTAGTAATGAACTCTTACGTAACTCAGAGTTCCCCAAAGGTTACCATTATCCACCAGAAGAAGTGAAGAGTTGTGATTGACTAAATAAATAGTTTGGATCATTTTGCAATACTCATTTATTTGGGCATTTCGAGAAAGTTTCTGCCCAGTGTCAATGTCAACTCCTTGGTGCTGTTCCTTCACTTTGCAAGAGGGATCTTCATTTCTCTTGACCAATTAGGCAGACCTTAACACTGCGTATCTCACGTCCCTTTTGGAAGTTGGTGGAGTACAAAACTCCAATGACTAATGAAAAATCACGAAGCACTCTTACTGGTTTCTTTGGGGAGGAGCCCATGGCTTTTCTCTTCACTGTGGCTCGTCTCGAAGTATCAGATCAACTTGTGCTAACGAAAATCAATGCCTTGCTAAAGGGGAGGGAGAAGTAGGGGATGGTGCCTGAGGTTTATTTATAATTGGCATGTTTCCATATCAATGGTCAAGGCTGCAACCAAGCTCCTTCTGCCCGAATAGAAGCTTTCCCTTGGACTCTCTGAAGAAGTGATAGAACTAGTTCAGCTGCCCGTCTGTCTGTAAGGTGAGGCCTACAGAGTTCCCCCTCCTAGCAATCTGGGGAGCAGCCATCTGAGAAGCAACTCATTTCTAATTCAAGTTTTGTTGCTTCTTCAAACGTTGAACCCTCGCGTATTTCTGGAATACCAAAGGAAAATGAATACAAATAACTGATCAACACCATCCCGATGCTCCCCCCACCCCCACAACACCCTGCCCTGGCCTTCATCGGTGTTTCACTCTGGTTGAATAGCAAAGGAGTCTAGTGATTTAGAGAGTGAGTTGAAACTGATCTTGCTCTGGTGGCTTCCTCACCCAGGTGCCCAGCCCAGCTTTCTGAAATGCTCTGAACAGCTGCTGTTTAACAGACTGGTAGGTAGAAGCCCCTCGCTTGGCCTCACAGTACATCGAGGGCGTGTCTCCATGGCTTGGTGTCCGTGTGCTCAGCTGTGGAACAGAAACAAGAAAGGACAAATAAGGGACTGAGTAGAAACCAGAACTTATCCCAGATGTATCACATGCTTATAGAAGCTTCATAAGCAAAAAAAAAAAAAAAAAGCTCTTGATCTTAGGCTGCTACTTTCCTTCTGTCTTCCTTGAAAACAAGCAAACAAACCCAAAGAGCAACATCATAAAGAGTAACAGTTGGAGTGACCAAGTTATAGCATGGAACCTAGTTATTAAAGAAACCTTGCTTAGCCCAAAATGTCAATGGTTAGTGAGCAAAATTAAGCACACACCTGGCTTGGTATTTAAAAATAGGAACACTGTGTGTGTCTTTCAGAATGAAGACCGGGAGATAAAAAGGTGTTAAAGGTGCATGAGGTGGGAGGGAAGCAAGAATTCTATATATATATATATATATTGAGCAAATACAGCACTGTGGTAGGTAGGATATGAAGAACATTGAATTTATATTGCTAGACAATCAAGACGACAACAAAACTAGGGTGTTTCCTTTCTCAAATAAATATACGAGCCCTCCACCCCCAGACAGAAAACGCAAACCTTTGGGTCGAACTGACTCACAGGATAGAGTAAAACTGCCCCAATGGGTTTCCAAAGCAATCGTCAGGATGCAAGCAGGCTACCACCACTTTCTCCCTTGGAGCAGCAGGTGGATTTGAACTGTCGACCTTTTGCTTAGCGGCCAAGTTCCTAACCATTGCACCACTAGGCAGCCTAAGGCAGAGATCAAATTCAGCTTCAATCCAGCCCCCAGCAGGGGGGTCTGGGGGATGCTGGCAAGTGAGGTGAGGGATGGTCACACCGAAGGATCTTAAAGACTCTCCCAGAGACAATTTAGGAAGTCAAGCTGTCCATGCAAAGACTGATATCACCTTGAGTTTATGGGAAAGAAGAAAGCAAGGATAATTCAGTGGTTTCTTCTGATCTACCAGAGTTTGAGCCCAGACAGCACTCAGTGAATCAAAGCATGGAGGCGACCTACAGCAGACCTGGGAGAGGCTGTGGTATCGTGGTCACAAGTTTAGGGTGCCTGGTTCTAGACACATCTTCACTTACAATACATAGTGGCAGATTAGGGCAGAGACAGAAGTCCTTGTCACTAAAGAACTATGCTGTGCAATTTTCAGCATTCTCTGAAGTGACAAAAATTGTAAGCGTCAGTACCACTATCTTGCTTTTCTGTTTGATCACCACACTATTATTATTCTTTGTAGGCATTGTTGCTATTGTTAGCTGTCAAGTAGGCTCCGCAACTCGTGGAAAGGCAATCCCCTCCTCTCCCCCCAGTGGACCAAAATGCTGCCAGTCTTGTCCATGCTCATGACCAATGGCATTTCAAAGTGTAGTGATCCATGGTGTATGCATTGGCTGATCTTTGGAACTGGAGTGCCAGGCTTTTCTTTCTTGTTTGTGACATGCCCATTTGTAGTCACTGCCCAGATAAGAAAGTCTAGGAAAATGAGCAAAGTGTTTGTATGTTTTCTGGTTACCATCTGTTGTTCTGTGAGGCAGTGAAAATGTGGAACAGTGTGTTAGGTGTTGGGCGGTAACCTCAAGGCTAGCAGTTCAAACCCAGCAGCCATTTCTTGGGAGAAGGCTGAGGCCATCAAGCTCAGACTCATTCGTGTCGTACGTAGAAGGCCTGGGGGCACAGTTGTGAGTGTTGGCTTGCTAACCATCACGTCAACAGTTAGACACCACCAGCTGCCATCCCAGGGCTCAAGTAGAAAGAAAATGCTCTGAAAATGATGATGGCAACGTAGGTACAAATGTGCTTGAAACAATGGATGGATGGATTATGATCAGAGCTGTGAGAGCCCCAGTAAAATGATTTTTTAAAAAAAAAGTTAAAAAACAAATCACCAGCTGCCCCAAGGGGGAAAGATGGGGCTTTCTACTCCCAGGAAGAGTTCCAGTAGCTGACAAGGGCAGTCCCACCCTGTCCTAGAGTCACTGTGTGGCCTGGACTTGATGGCAGTGAGTTTCTAAACGTTTGTTTAGGTTCCTAAACTTATTTCGCTTATTGCCCCCTTTTCTTTTCTTTTTTAAAACATTTTATTAGGGGCGCATACAACTGTTATCGCAATCCATACACACATCAATTGTGTAAAAACATTTCCTCTCCACTTAAACCCCCGACATTAGGTCCTCATTTTTCCCCTCTCTCCCCGCTCCCCCCTCCCTCAAGAGCCCTTGATAGTTTATAAATGGGTATTTTGTCATATCTTGCCCTGTCCGACGTCTCCCTTCACCCACTTTTCGGTTGTCTGTCCCCCAGGGAGGAGGTCACACACAGTTCCATGTAATCGGTTCCCTCTTTCCTACCCATTCTCCCTTTACCCTCCCTGTTTCGCCACTCACACCACTGGTCCTATAGGGCTCATCCACCCTGGATTCCCTGTATTTTCAGTTCCTATCTGTACCAGTGTACATCCTCTGGTCCAACCAGACTTGCAAGGTCAAATTCGAGTAATGGTAGTGGGAGCAGGGAGGAAACATTTAGGAACTAGCGGAAAGTTGTATTTCTCATCATTGTTACATCGCACCCTGACTGGCTCATCTCCTCCCTGAGACCCCTCTGCAAGGGGATCTCCAGTTATTGCCCCCTTTTCACACAGCATACCCCTGGCAATGAAAAACTTTTGTATCGATACCCTTCATCCAGGCTAAAGTATAAGTATCTGCTTTTGCAGCCCCCCTGGCTGGGTCTAGCACCCCTCTGCATGTGGTATCACTCACGTTGGGAAACACTGGTGTAATGGGAAAGGCACAGTAAACTTGGGAGCTGGGGAGAAGTGAGTTCCAATTTCATCTCGGACATCAACTACCCGGTGACTGTGGGGAAAATGACTGAGCTCTCCCAAGCATTTGTTTCCTTTTACCTAAACTGGGAAACACTTCCGGGAAGGTTTGCGTGGGGCACCATATGTAAAGCCCTTAGCATAGCGTTTGGAGCACATAGGTACTCACGGAGGATTAGCTCTTTTCTTCTTCTGCTTGCTCTTCTAGAAACGTGCGTGTGTATGTGGCCCCAGGTGGCAGCAAACATTGCAGATCTGTGGGCCAGGCTCTGCCTATCAAAGCCCCCAAGCTTAAGTCTATGGGGGAAGCACAGTCGGTCTGGGAAGTTGTGGGAAGGAAATGAAAATCGGAGCTCGTTTTTTACGTCATGTGCTACCTTCACTGAAGCCCACATGATGAACTCCCTGCCAGGCGTATAACCTGTGAGCTGTGCTCAGGGTTCGAGCCCGGTCCAATCTCAATGCAAACTTGCTCCTCGGAAGGAACACATGTGACCTACCTTACCATAAAGTCTTGCCCACCGGGCAGAGAACACATGCTTGCAGAGTCTCGACGAGCCCCCACAGTCCCTCTTCCCCGTGGTGGCATTAATAATCTCCAGCTCCGCATTACCCACAATCCAGTTCATGCTGAAGGGGGGAGATTTTCCTGGCTGGCGCGCTTCCGCATTACTCACTCCTGTCAGCAGAGAAATAGAAAGCAGCCAAGCATTAATATTCCTGGCCCCAAACAAGGCTCCCGTGAGACCAGCTAATGGGAAAGAAAGTCTGGTTTGCTCTGGTGGGAGGTGTTCACACACACACACACACACACAGCCCTGGTTTTTCCTATTGAAAACCTGGTTGGTTCATGCTGAGGTCACCATTTTGACCTACCGGGCTGGATGTTAAAAATGGAGCCTAACTGTAATGACAGCCTCTTGTGAGGAAACATTGCTGGGGCCTGTTTAGAACCTTTCCATTTAAAAGATTGCATGGGAAGGCTTGTAGTAATAAAGTGCTGCCCAGATTTTTTTTTTTTTTGCTTTCTATAAATATTTGCTGAGTGAAATAATGAAGAAGCAGCAATCTGAGAATCTGTGTTCACCAGGCACCTGCTGCATGTCCATCGCTGCACCAGGCAGTCTTCAGGTTGGTAAAGAATAGCAGACAGACCCGTAGGCTTATGATTCAGGTGTAGAGAAACTACCCAAGAAAACAAGATAGAAGAGAGAGCTACGTGTGTGACACTTAGGCCAGAGATGTGATCCAGAACAGGACTGGTGGCATAATTTATAAGACCCAGTACGAAAGCAGCACCTTTCTGTCAGTCTCTTGTACTGTGGTGTCTTGCTTGTTGTTATGATGTTGGAAGTTCTGTCACTAGTATTTCAAATACCAGCAGGGTTAACCATGGTGGACAGGTGAGGTAGTTAATTTATTGTGCCAACCTGGCTGATAAACACATGTAGGGTTAAGGTGGA